CACCACTGTCTCAGGTGAAGTTCTACAGAGATGGAAAATTCCCTCATTTCTCTAAGGAGAGCCAGACTCTGTCCATGGGAGCAGCAACAGTGCAGAGCCGTGGCCAGTACAGTTGCACTGGGCAGGTGATGTATATTCCACAGATATTCACACTAACTTCAGAGACTGCCATGGTTCAAGTCCAAGGTGAGTCACCAGCTTGGGAGTTTGTGGGGCAAGAGGTGCCTCTCAGGGGTCCCATCTCTAGAGGTCAGTAGCTCTCTGGACAGGACCCCTGTCTCTGACTGCCCTTCATGCTGGGCCAATGTGTGGGGCCCCGAGGTTTCCCAAGATGTTGTCTCAATACCCCCCTCTCCCCACCATGGAGCACATATGGAGCCAGGGGAAGGAGTGGGGAGATTCCTGGGAGAGGGGCACTGGGAAGAGCCTGGACCAGTCCAGGTTCACCCTTCCCCTCTGTGGACTAGAGGACCTCAAAGGACCCCTCTGCCTCTGACTTCCAAGATTCCAGAAGGGTCTGGCTGTGTGGGAGTCACTTTCAGAGCTTGTGGGTAAGGACAAGAGGACAGGTCCTGGGGATCAAGCTGCCTCCCATCGGCATCCCCAGGCTGCAGCCCGGGATGAGTAGAAGCTCAGGCCTCAGCCTTCTGGGGCTTCATCATCTGGGACTCCCCTCCTGAGCCCTGGGCCTGCATCTCCCCAGAGCTGTTCCCACCTCCTGTGCTGAGTGCCACCCCCTCTCCTGAGCCCCGAGAGGGTAGCCTGGTGACCCTGAGATGTCAGGCAAAGCTGCACCCCCTCAGGTCAGCCTCAAGGCTCCTCTTCTCTTTCCACAAGGATGGCCACACCTTGCAGGACAGGGGCCCTCACCCAGAACTCTGCATCCCAGGAGTCGAAGAGGGATACTCTGGATTTTACTGGTGTGAGATGGCCCCCGAGGGTGGCCAGGTCCAGAAGCAGAGCCCCCAGCTGGAGGTCAGAGTGCAGGGTAAATGTGTGAGGGAGTGGCGACGCCCCCAAGGGTCTGGGCATCAGGCAGTGGGACCTCCTGGGAGGAGAGGAGTTGTGGGAAGGGTCCCCAGGAGAGGAAGGAGCCAGGGTCCTGGGTGGTCAGGCTGAGCTTCCCACCCCATGTGTGTCCCAGCTCCTGTGTCCTGTCCTGTGCTCACCCTGCACCACGGGTCTGCTGACCCTGCTGTGGGGGACATGGTGCAGCTCCTCTGTGAGGCCCAGAGGTGCTCCCCTCCAGTCCTGTACTTGTTCTACCTCAATGGAGATATCTTGGGGATCTCCCTGGGAATCACTTGGCTCCCCATGGTGGAGCTCTTTCCCCCTTGTTTCCAGTGAAGTCAGAGCAGGATGCTGGGATCCCATCCTGCAAGGTTGAGAACAGCATCTCCAGAGAGAGGAGTGAGCCCAAAAGCTCTCCCTTGTTGATGCATCTTGTCTTCTAACTGGGCTCTGAGCCCCGGGGCCTAGGATAATGGTTCAGTCATCACTGCACCCTCAGCAGCCTGGCATGGAGTGAGGGGAGCTTGGAGGAGGCAAATGTGTGGAGGGAGAGGAATCTCAAGCGTTAGGAAAACAAGGGCAACAGGGCCCAAGCAGTGAGATGTGTCTCCTTTTCACAACCACAGAAGTTGTGGATCCTTCCAGAGAACTGGTTTCCTGTGGTCTTAACAACGCTGAGCCTTCTAGCTCTTGGCCTAAGACACAGGCCACTTTCCTGCAGTGAGGGTGTAGGGTGTGTGTGAGGGGTGGGGTGGGGGCCAGACCTAGAGGCACATAGAGGGCATGAACAGAGAAGTGGAAGGAGCTAGAGTCCCATGTGCGTGTGGGCCTGGGAGGCCTGCAGGAGCCCAGAATCCTCAGCTTGGCCCTCATGACTCTCCAAGCCCTCTAGGCGCCCTGCCCCCAGAGTTGTCTGCTGGGGTGAGCCATTGACATGGGTCTGTGTGCTGTTCTGCAGAGGGAGCTCCGTGGCCTTACAGATAAGTTTTTTTTTTTTTTTTTTTTGGTGGCGGTGGGAGGGGGGCAATCACAGGCCTCTGAGTTCCCCAGGACTCCTCAGAGTGCCAGGGGAGAAACAATAGCTGTTTTGTCCAGGTGCGGCCTGAAGATTCATGAAAGTCACTCTAAGGGCCTGGGTGTCAACTGTGACGCTGACCCTGTGTCCTTCCCAAATGGTCCTGCAAAGCTGCCAGGACTCCCACTTTCTACTGCACATCCCAATCTTCTATGCCTGGGAATCTTACCCAATAAATAGAGGTGACAGAATGAGTCCAAGTCAGCCTCAATCTGCGTCAGCATCTCTGCACCTTCCTTGGTCTCAGAAGACACTATGTGATATCTCTCCTCACCTCACTCAGAGTTGGGTGGCACCCTTAACCCCCTTCTTCAACCCAGGGTACCAACTCATAAAGGGACTCAATGGTTATGAGAACAGAGGGTCCCTGCTGGAATCCTTCACCCTGGACTTCTCCCCGAGGGATCTTGTTCTCCAGCAGTCATTGTCAGTGCAGGGCAGGATTGAGGAGTCTGACCATCCTGGACTGATTTGGTTTGATTGGTTGGTTTGTTCCTTCCTTCCTTCTCGTTGCCTTGTTCTAAAGATGAATTTTCGTTGCCTAGCGAAGAATCAGCCTTTCCCAAAGACAGGTCTAGCGTTTGCCCTCCACTATGAGGTGCCGATCTCTAGGCCCTGGAATGCCATGCCTGATAAAAGTGTCTTTGTTTGTCTAGGGGCCTTGGCCATCAGACAGTTCAACAGTGTGATTTATGATGAGGGATTTATGCCAAGCACTATCATTTCTACCTCCAGAGGGACTGGAGACCAAAGGTGTCAGCTTGACCTTTGGAAGGGCCAGTGACTGACAGACAGCCATGTGGGCAGCGTGTGATTTAGTCCTAGTAAAAACTCTGAGGCTTGGGCGAGATTTCCTGGTTGGAAATATTGTGTGTGTATTGTTACACACTGATGCCAGAAGAGTACCCTGTCCTAACCCCATGGGAAAGGACATACTTAGTACTTCCCTGGACTCTGTGCGCTTCTTTCCTAGGCTGAGTTTAATATGTGTCCTTTCCCTACAATAAGACATAACCATGAATATAACAGCTTTCATTGTATTCTGTGACTATTTCTAGCAAATTACTAAAACTGAGGGTAGTTTTTGGAACTCCTTGAACTTTCAGGTGGTATCAGAAGTGAGGGCAGTCCTGTGTAGATTGTATTCTTTCTGACTGTATACTTGGCTAAACTCTCATGCACGTCTTAGAAAATGTACACACTGTCGCAAGATAAAATACTAGTTAGGAAGATGAGGTTAGAAGAAAGTAGGGTAGGAAAATAAGTTGCAGAAGGACAGTAAAGTCTACTGTAAAATCACAGGGCTGCTCAGAGATGGCCCTGCTGTTCCTACCATTGGGAGGCATTTTTTCTCAAGAAAATACTGTGCGATGATAATGAACAGCATCTTTAGCCTTATCTTTTCCATAGCCCCACTGAATATTCCTGCTTTATAACACTCTTTGACACAGACCATGGTCATTGATTGCAACAAAGCATTTCAGGGGAGCAAGTCTGCACTGTCCCCATAGGAGGTGGCTTGGATTTTATCTTTCTTTTTTTTTCTTTCTTTCTTTTTTTTTTTCTGAGATGGAATCTCGCTCTGTCACCCAGGCT